CGAGGAGGAGCATGTGCGTCTGCGTGAGGATAGACAGCAGCATTACTGGCAGCACCATTTTAGGTGTCAGGACCTTCTTCAGCCGGTCTGCTTCTGGCGTTCGCCGATCGAGGAAATGCACCGCCTCCAATGTTGTGAAAATTGGCGGTAGCGCCATGCCGGCGACGTTGAGGAAGAAGTAGCCGAAAAGTTTGTTTTGCCAGAATAACCACAGTTGTTTCACGTCCAGAACGATGTCCACGTAGTAGAGCACCTCCGGCCATTCGCCATCGAAACTTCTCCCGGCAACGTGCTCGACACATGTGCTCTAGATGGAATGTGGGCTTGGCAATTATATCAGTCTCTGACTCATTTGCTTTCTTTCTTCTCCAACATACAGAAACCATATCTCCCTTCCACTCTAGAAGAACGGAACACTCAGGCTGAGGAGGGCACGAAAGTCAGCAGGAAAAGATCGGCCCAGAACATGGCGGACTGCCCTGTCAGGCTTCTCACGGCGTCGGGGGTGCAGGTCCAGCTCGGGACGTACTCGCACTCCACGATGTGGTCGACGCTTCCCTGGATGGTCCGCAGTCCGATGACCTGCCAAGACCGGCAGAAAGCTGCAACTGCAAGCTACATGTGCTCAGCGGACTGGTTCGTGCCTCAGGCAGCATGGGGATATCAACGTTCTCGGGCTCTTTCTCGAGGCGTTCCAGGGCAGGAGGCATCCAGTGCAGGTGGCCCGGAAAGTCGATCGAGTCGGACCGAAGGAGTCGGCGGGAAAGGGGTTCCAGCTGCAAATGGCCCTTGACATCCAACAGGATGTGGATATCTCGAAGGTCCGCGAAGCCCGTGGTTGGATCTGTCGCCTCAGCACGACAGGCCGCGGCTTCAGCGCCGTCCTTTGCTAGGCAAGAACCTGCAAATGGATCTCTACCCAGACCCCTGAGAGGATCTAGGAAGTAGATCCCTTAATGGCGCGCTGCTAGAAAGAATCTTTAGTGGCACGGGGTCGCAAATAGGTGGTTCTAGTTTCTAGATCCTCCCGGGAGTCTGGGTACTGAGAGGTCTTGAGAGGTCCTGAGCCGCCGACTTCCCAATATTTGAACCCCAGCACCCGGGCATCATCCGGTAAGGGCAGTGTGAAACGTTGGATTGGCATCTGGCCCTCCTCGAGTGCCAACTGCACCACCTGGGGCACTGGGCCGAGGCTCAGCTCCAGGCGTAGGAGCCGCATGAAGCTCCCCTTCAACGCATCATCAAGTTGGACTCTGCCGTCGTCGTCGACTTGAAGCTGCGCTGGGCAGATCACTGTTGCTTCGAGGCTCCGCTCCGGTCGCAACACTTGATACCTGTAGGCAGTCATGGCTCCGGTCTTGCTCCCTGTGGTCGCTGTTCGAGCCGAGGCCGCTAAGGCAGCAAAGGTAGGGATGGCGAGCATTAAGGGGAACCCCTTAAAGATCCTTCAAAGGACTCCCTTGTAGATGGCTTAGAGGAACCCCGAGCAGGGTAGGCCCAAACTCACTTCGTCGAACTCTGGCCCGGCGGGAGCACACGAGCGGCTCAGGTCCGTGCCGTAGGGGGCCGCTTCGCCAGCTCGGCGGCTTCGGGCATTGCCACGGCCTGCAGTTGATCCTTGGCGCCATAGATCATGTATCAATTTTTTGGAGATAGTGTCGAATTAACGTTTGTTCATGGAGTGGTTTATTGGGCAGGCGGTTATGTTGATGTTGAAGGCTTAGTGTGTCAGCTCTTTGTGATAAAACAGGCAGCTGACCAGCACTGGCCCTTACCGAATAATCGTCAAAGCTCTTCTCCGAACGATCCCCTCGCGGAGAACCTCCTGGCAGGCCTGGCATATGTGCCGCCAGAAAAGGTGTGGGACTTGCTTCCGCAGGAGCCTTCTTCTGGTGAGGGAGGGAATCAGAGCTGGCTGTGGTCGGCGCAAGGGGAGAAGAAGCCTCCGCAAATCCTCCGCATCTGTTTCAAGCAGACGGGAGCCAGGAAGTGACGGAGACAGCCACGAACATGGAGGCGGGGAGCGGCCGAGAGGATTCTTGGATCTGCGTTTCCTCCGAATCCTCCGAGGATCCTGAAACTCGAAATGGAGCCCTGTAGGACTGTAGGACTTGGAGATCTTTGGGCCCCTGGTAGCTGCTGCCAGCTGGACCGCTCAGCAATCGAGGGCAACTCTCCGGGAGAAGAAACGGGGAAGCCTCCACCCGAAACATCCCGAAGCCCTCTTGCCCCGAAGCTCCGAGGCCAGCACCCTTTTGGAGCCTCGGAAGCGCTGCCACCAACCTCCGACGGAGGGCTGTGCTTCAGAGCTCTCCGACGCCCCGAAGCTTCAAGGACCACAGCGGTGGATCCGACGAAGCCCTGCAGCTAAGGGATGATGCCGAAGCTGATTTTTGAGATACCTCACATTGACACAACATCCAATAAGTCGAGGAAGGGGGCTCAGAGCCCCGAGACACCATCGCCTCAAGACAATCACAGGCTTGAAGCCTCATGCCTCCAACCCGAAACCCACAAAAACACCTTAGACGAGGGTCTCGTTTGCTTCTCGGAAGTGACGGAAAACCCCCGCCCCCACAAAAAGAAGCGGGCCTGGCGGCTGCGTGTTCGCTCCAGGTCTTCAGGGGGCCACCTTCGGGCGAGGGGGCAGAGATGTCGGGGCTTAGGGGATCATAACGTACCATACTTTTCCATAGTAGACCATGATAGACCGCAATAGACCAGAGTATACCATAAGCATAATGTGCCAGAATTTGCTCTCTCATATCTTCCTGTCATTTGGGCCTTTCATTCGCCCCCTTTTCTTGGGGGGCTCTTTCGGAGGAATCCCCCCCAAAACCCCCAAAAACCCTCCGTGGCTTCAGCTTCGACACTCTTTGTTCAAAGGGCCAAGACGGACACTCCTCGGGGCCTCGGGGGCTGACGATTGCTCTCCCGACCGCCATTTTTGCTGAGCGTACATACAGTACAGCAACAGCTGTACTGCGTCTATATTGAATGTTAAGAGCACGCTTCGGCTTGCAGGGAAGGTCCCCAGACCACGCTGAGGGATTCTGGGGAAGCTCTCGCAGAGTAGCGCAAGGGTAGCTTTGCAGCGTCGCGGGGTTGACTTGCTGCTTTGGGTCAGCATGTGGCTTCCCAAAAAGATTATCGTTTCCAGTCTTAGGTTTGGCATTTCGATGGTGTTCCGGCCCAACCTACATGAAGCCTCCGCCTCTGGCTGAGACGCCTTCGACTTGGCAAACACCCAAAATCCTATAAACAGGAACACCCTAAACCCTTAAATCCTGCTTCCTAAAGCCTAAGCCCATAACCGTGACCACGACATCCGGGAACGCCTTGAGGGCCAAGCTTCTTCCATCAGCTCTCAGAGCCTGGCGCGTTCGAGATCGCGTTTGTGGCCGAGAGCCTCTGACGACGAAGTCCCCAAAGTCTACGTCTCTTTAGACTTTAGAGGTTCGGCACGGGTCCGGAGGGGGGTGAGCAAAGCAGGGATACAGCGCTGACGAGTTGGCATCCGGCTGTGGACACTTGCGGCAGAGGATTCAGGCACTCGCGGCTTCGGAATTCCCTTGCAATCTAAATCTCGAGTGCTAAGAATGCGCGCGTGCTTTGCTGCAGCTAGGGCGCTGCTTTTTAATCTGAAACCTGCTTCCCCTGGCCTCAACTCCACGCTGGACTCAAGGTCCCAAAGCTCTGTCAAAGACCACCAAAACACTTTAAACCAGAAAAAAAACCCTGTTCAGTTTAAGAAGGCCCGCTTCAGGCCCCCGCTTTTTGTCTCAAAGGCCCACAGAAGGCTCCCCCGCCCTCGCCGACCTTCCGGTCGATCGCCTGCGGCCTCGCGCAGATCGGGACGCGAAAGGGAGGGACGTCCGACGCTTTGGGGTTTTGGGGGGGCGACATTTCTTTGGGTTTCAGGGGCTCCCTTTGAGGTGCCTTTCCGGGCCACGCCTGTGAGGTTTGGAGCTTCGGGGGCTCCAGCTTTCGGGGTTTCTTTGTTTTTGGGCTTCGGCTCCCGTTCGTGCTCGGCTGCTAGGACGACGGGTTTTGAAGCTGAGGGTTTCCTCCATCGGTATATGCGAGTTTGGGCTTCGGGTGCTGGGCTCTGGGGTTCAGGGCTCAGGGGATGAGGATGAGGGCTCCAAAGGCTTAAAACAACTAGGGTTTAGCGTCCTTACTCCCTAAAAGCATCCCTAAAAATTCAGGATGAGATGAGGCCGATAAGGGTGATGCTGATGCTGCGGGTAGCGAGGACGAAGATGAGGTGACGACGACGGTCGCTTGTGGCTGCGTTCTACATTACTACACTCACTTTTTCGGGGCAGGGACTTTGCTCCGAGCAGACAGTCATAGGATCGAGCTTGTATAGTAGGCCTTCCGAGCTTAAAGCACTTGGACCTTGAGGGCACTGTCCTCACCTCTTGAAAGCGCCGAGGTCCAAAAGCTTTTCAACTTTTTCAGAACCTGAAGGCCTTCCAGGCGGGCGTGCCGGGGATCGCCGAGGAGGCCGAGCCCAGAGGGCCCCAATTTCTGCAGGCTCGGAGTCTCGGGGGCCACGCTTCAGATCGCAAAGGCCCCTGCTGGCCAGAGCTCGTGCCGAGAGGTCACGTCGGGCCCCGAAGCCTCCGAAGCGCCACAAGCTCTGATTCGGGTGATGTCCTGCTTTCTGGAACGAAGGTCGTGAGGATGGGAGGTCCAAAATAGCACGAGGCTTACGAACCGTACCGAATCCGAAGCCCGTCAAGACGACGAAAGCGCTCAAATGCCCTCGAATGCCGAATCACTCAAACTCGAAAACTCTGCAA